ACTGTTATGCGTTCTTTTTTATTTCTGTAGTTTGAAATATAGGTTCTTGTTGAAATATCTGCCTAAGGTTTTCTTTCCCTGGTATCTGCCAAAGGTTGGATATCTCTCATTTTCCTTTGACTAGTGCATAAATCAGAAAACTACCATTGATAAGTTGTTGATTGCACAAAGTTCTTGCTTTGCAGACCATTTCCTTGGAAGAAATCAGGGAAACAACCGCAAATGTGTAACCGTTGGTTTATTAGATCAGCTTGAGGTTGAGCATATGCTCACTTGTATGTATGTTTATATCCTGATTGGTAACCAGTTTCATGTACCCCTTTTTTCATCTTACCCTTTCTTTCCTCATGGGGTGTGCTTTTTGTACAGTCAGGTCTGGCCTGATCAGAATTAAATTGAGTAAAGGGTTTTATGATAAGTCGAAATTAAAAAAGATTGATTTATTTGGTTTTGTGCACTTTGGACCAGTTTCATGGTTTGACAGAAACGCCCTAACTCAGGCTCAGATTGACCCTTCTCACCCCTCACCAGGCTTTTTGGCGAACTAAATAAATTTTGCAGTCAAAGACACCAATGGATCACCATTTGGACACTTTGTTTAACAGTGTTTCCTCCGTAATAGAGCCTATGTGAATCCCAATCATTATTATGAGGTTGTCCTCCTTCACCCTTCCTGAACGATTTCTGGAATCTCACAACTAAGCCGAAACCAAAAACATTCTCTTGAACGGTTTCTACATGTTTTCATTTGATTATTCAACATCATATTCCATAGATCATTATAATTTTTATACTAAAAATTTTGTTTGTTTTTAAAAACAATATCTTATTGGTTTTAAAAACATGTATTGCTTTTTCGAATAAAATCAACTTAGTTTTTTCTTTTAAAACAAAAATAGAGTTCAAATACATGTTTTTGTTTTTGTTTTTTTATTAATATAGTGATTTCAAAAACAAATGAAAACAAAAAAAATGCATGTATCTCTATCTTCTGCCTAGACCAAGGACAAATGGCGAAAAGTGCAGACGATGGTGATTAGAACTTAGAATAATTTATAGGGCTGTCAATGAATCAGGTCTGACAGAACTGATTAAGGTTAGTTTTGGTTCTGTGGTTTTGTTCTGATCAATAATTGGGTCAGGATTGATTATCAATTAAATAATTAATAATATATAAAGGCAATTTAGTTTTGTTGTAATTTTAAATTATTATTAACATAGGTAATTATAGCTCTCAACTCTCAAGTGTGGTCACGTATAATCGGGTCTGACCCGATTAATAAATGAAACGATTCTAGGGCTATCACCTACCAATGTGGAACCCATTAATAATCGGTTCGGTTCCTCGCCCTTGGGCTAGCCCATCAAATTTAAAGCAAATGCTCAACCCAGCCTTGTCCAACTTACACCCCTCACCCACCTCCTCTGTTTCCATGTGGAAACCATTAAGTAGATATTCCATGTTAGGTAATCATGTTCTTTGAATTTGATTGGGTAGGATGCGACTAAAGTAAAGAGGTACTTATTTTATTTCGGACCTATTATTTACGTGACGGGGCTTTAGTTTGATTTTTAAGCCCTCGGGCATGAAAGAAGAAGGATAAGAAACGAATATCCACAAGAGAATATCATAGTTGTTGGGATGTTGGTTGAGTTATTAATTAACACGAAGTCATGGTTGCTTTAAACCGTAGCTCATACAAAATAATTTTCATTCTAAGGTATTATTAGAACGTATGATTTTTAATGATAAGTAGAGAGAATGTCCATCTTGGGTATACGTTTAGTTTATTAAATCCCTAGTTGTAATAAAAACTCATGGGTTGTCTAGTCACTAATGGAATACATACAAATTCTCTGTGATGAATTTTATTTGTAAGAATTTTCCAATAAATAATTAAAGCTATATTTGGTTCTGTGGGTGTTTATCGAAAAAATGCTGCCATACGAGTGTTGGCTTTTATTGTGTAGGAAACCACTATTTAATTTTAATGTTTATTAAATAACTACTAAAAAACATAAATGCTTAGACTTGTGTGCATGAGACATTTAGGAAAACGTCAAATCCTTGCATTTTTACTTAGAAAGTAAGAAATGTTTAAAGTTATGATCAACTAAACAATAAACGTTTAAAGCAATAAGCACCCCAAGATAAACGCTCACAAACCAAATACATACTAAATTGAGATTTCTTTGAAATACCAAAAGTAGAAAATTGTGATACCATCCTGATTGTATAAGCAAGAGGCCAAAGACCTTCCCATCACGCTCATCTGAATAAGTGAAAGTGAAAGTTATCTGCTATTCTGATGTGTTGTGTCTACCGTTTTCAGTGGAGTCTACCAGCCAAATGAACCCACCCGTTTAAAGAGAGGAAAGTTGTTCGCGGAAGCAGGCAAGCCCTATTCACCTCACCTAGTTGACGGAAGAAATCTTAGTAGAAATGCAAGAGAAGATTCAAGGGAGTCTTGATATACGTGGAAATTCATGGAAAACTTTATGCACAAGGTTAATAATCTTTTCATTGACTGTGAAAATTTATTATTTGGATGCCTAGATAATGAAGGGGAACGCTTTAGGTTGTATTTGGTATCATTGTTGTTTCTCTTAGGAACTTTGGAGCTTATCAATACAAATTTTTGAGAAATTGTAATATTACATTACATCAGATAACTTCTTCCACCAAAAAATATATATGCATTAGATTGGATGTTGGCATTTATGGTAGAAACATCATATTTGGTGTTTCATAAAAAAATCAATGTACCAAATGTTGTATTGATAACTCATAGCATTTGAAGTAGTATTCTCATAATATTTGGCTTGACCAACCTAAAACGTTGTAAGTAGAAGTGATGATAACACTAAGACCCCGTTCGCTTTTCAATAAGTTACTTACCCAGGTAAATGCATTTACTTGATCAAGTTTTTCTTAGGAAACACTTACCCAGTTTAGTGCATTTACCCATGTTCTTTTATTTCTCATGTAAATAAGGCAATGATCATTTTAACCATAAAAAATCCATTACTAAAAGGGGCATTTTGTTCCATTCAAGTATTGGCAACTTTCCCCCTACGTGCAAAAGTTATTTATCCACCTAGGAGATGGGTATCACTTACTCGGGTAAGGGATACCTAGGAAAATAAACTTTCCCTGGTCCCCACATAAATCTGAAAAAAAGAACATGGGATACTTGGTCAATAAGAACCAAAATCCCATTGACCAACTTTCCCTCCTCTCAAAATCCAAAAAAAGAACGCCCCCTAAACATAACCTTAGTTGGCATTTTAAGTGTTGTGCCCCTCAAATGCATTGTAATATTTGTTGCAAGATGCAACAATCCAAATCCACGCTATGTATACTTAGGGTCCATTTGGATCGTGGGAATAAGGGTCCGGATTTAGAAATGGAATAGTCGTTTCGATTCCAACTGTTTGATTGAGTGGAATCGAAATTCGATTTCCATTTCTGGGGGAATGGCATTGTCCCATTGAGAGAACAGTCATCCCCCCCCCCCTATTCCAATTCTAACTATGAACTAAATAGATCCTTAGAATTTCCTCATCATAATTTATTGATTTACTCAATTTACACCTGCTCTGCATTAGTTCCACAATAACCAGCTGATAGATTTTTATTTCAAGGAATCAGATATGAGCCCACTGAGCTTGATGAGTGGTGACCCACAAGCAGCATTTGATAGCCTTGTCCTGTCCACATTTGTTGACACTTGAACACTTGACCAAATTAGTCATTATCAACTCTTCTGTTGGGATCATAAAACTCTTCCAATAAAGTTGAGAAGTTGTTTTTGTTGGATGGCGTAGACAAAGTGAAAATACCAATTTTCTTATCAGATCAATAGCAAACTGTCACACCATTTAAAAAAAAAACACTTTAGTTTTAAAATGGGAAGCATGTAGTAGATTGTTATTGGTCTGGTACAGAAATTTTTCTATACCAAGGGTATAGAGGATATGGATTCCCATAAGACACCACATCGAAGGCCTTCGATAAACTGAAATATACAGACTTCAACCTTAAGGCTCTGTTTATTTGTAGTGCAATCTCATTTATACTAATATAAATGCATGAGAGTGCAAATGGAAAGAATACATTTCTGGATTACTTTTGGTTTGCATTTTACCTCATTTTTGTTTCAGGTTTTATTTTATTTCATTGTCAATGCAAGCAAAGATAGGTTAGTACTTGGTGTAATGATAAAATCTTGACCTATCTGCCTCTTGCCATTGGTTTGCCTCCTCCAACTATAATCATCTCCAATACTTAGAGGGCGGGGGCTGATCATAAGGAATGTGAATTAAATTGTGCAAAAATATAGTAAAATAAAACAAGTGATAATGTAAATTAGTTGTATTGCATATAGATGCAGCCCTAGTAAACAATTATCCCAACCCTCCATGACTCCAACCCACCACCACCAAAAAAAAAAGGAAACGGAAAATAAAGGATTTAAATTATTCTCTCTTTCTTCTTCATTGTAGGTTCTTCCATTCTCACAAAATTGATAACCATACTTGAACAATTTTGTCTTTAGAACCAGCCTTGATTAACCACAAATTTAAGTTGCATATATTGATGGATTAACCAGTTAACAATTGGACACCTTGATTAACCCGAATACCAAACGCCCAGAAGTAGCTTTATTTTTCCGAGCTCTTTATTAATTATTTGTAGCCATTTGAATGGTTTAGCTTTCGCTTGGAATCCAACCAAATACACCTTCCACAAATTTTAAGCATTTACTTAAATAGGCTATCTAAATTAAATGAAAAAAAAAARGAAACTCAACAAACAAAAAGCCTAAGAGAAATATAAACTGAAACACAAGAGCATAGGATTCCATCAAACAAAAAGAAGAATAATCATGTGGTATTCGATAAATGCAAATGTCGAAATCAGCATCTGTTCCACAAGCTGATTCTAGGCTCATTAATATCTTTGCAGTCTACATCAACGCCAATAGAGTCCCACCATCTAAAGGAACAAATCTTTTTTTTTTAAACATCAACCTTTTTAGTAAAGATGACAATGTATTTACAAGAATTCCCTACTCAGGKATGTCGAAACATAGATCCATCTTATAATTACAAGCAAAAAAAGGCAAAAATATGATGAGCTATATCATTGTCTATCCTACTGACAAGTAAGATTTTATATACATCAAAAACAGAAATAATGTTATTCATCTTTACTTGGCAAGAAAAATAAAACAGAAATCATGTTCTTCACAATCTTAAGTATCCTCTCAGCCCAATGGCATTCCAATTGCGGCTGGTTCATCTATTTCATAACAAGTCCATGGCTCCTATAACTRMYCACCATTCAGCTTCAATGTTGCTTCTTGCCATGCATTGGTATTGTGAAGCAAATATAACCTTGTCACTTTGAAACTCAATTACTATCAGACCTATAGTAACATAATCTGTAAGTGGCTCATAGGATCCATCCACATCTAAAAAGCTTAATTATTGTAGAAAGAATGTAATCTATAAGTTTACTATAAACAACCTATTTGTATTTGCATACTCAGATTATGCATTTATTTTTATAATACTAGTATGTGCCCTCACAACTTAGATTACTAAATGATGGATATTTGTGAGTGGATTGGGAACTCATTCCTGTGTTAACATACATAGAGCTTTGCCACAAGAGGATCTATGTTAAAAGCAAAATAAACATCTAATTTTCCTCTTACCTTTTTTATTATAGGAAAGCAAGATTATTATTTTAGGAGTTTCCCATACATCTTGTGGGACTCCTTCAGATATGATTCAACCTAAAGCTCAGTACTTACAT